GGTGAGCACCACTTTTATAGTGATAGCTATCTAATCGGCCACTGTTTTCCTCACATTTTATTAAATTATATTGATATCTTGAATTATTCCGCCTCCTCTATTGTTAAGCTACTTATGATCTATGCTCCTACTTACCCTACACTTGTTGGTCACTTTACCGTAAGATCTAGGCACTTACCATATCATACAAGAGGCTATATTATTCTTTGACTCCGAGGAGGATGAATAGCCCGGCTTTGACGGATGAGAAGCCTTGACCGTAATCCTATGTTGACTGACGATTCAAAGTGGCTGAGAACTCCTTTTGAACCAAACCATTTTCAGCTTTGTTGAACGAACTGTTAAAGTTCAATTTTGTTTACGTTTGAATCATTTAGAGTGTGCCAAGTAGCTTAGGTGTTTAGCTAATATTTTTGGCATTTCTTTAGTTATTTTTGATCACGTTTAAGCATAAATAGCTAGTAAATACTAGGATCCACGTTAAAGTTATAAACAAAATGTAACAGAACAAAACAACGCTAACTCACGTCAGCTTACACGAATACGCGTCGCATTTACAAAGGAAAATCATGAACTATATGAGTATTATCTACTGTACGGAGCAGTGTTACATTCCTAAGCTTTATCACTACTATTCACAACATACTCCGTACCATTCACACAAGTCACTATAGACGTCTTATTACTGTCTTCAAAATTTCAAGTAATTTCGAGGGTCGGGTACAAATAAATTGCGTAGACAATGCCTTTGTTCCTGAAGGGATTAGATTACGATGATTGCCAACTGAGTTTCTAGTTACAGCCCTGTTACTAACTAGCTGTGTAACGTTATTATTTATAAAATAATGGGTTTTCGCGCGTAAATTGATGTTTGACAGGCGTCCATCTTGTTTTTTCGCGCTTAAAAAATAATGAGTGACATGTGATGGCGTGTGTTTTAAGAGTGAATAATTAAAGAGTGTTTATTGTGTGTCGGTCTCACGTAAATTTTAGTTATGGACATTGAAAAACAGATATTTCTCTATTAATATTATTAGTTACCTACACAAAATACAAAACAGAAAAAGAAAGGTTTAAAAGACAAAGTCACAACAAAACGTATTCAAAAAAAAAAACATAACATTAGTATCAAGTTATGTGGTATCAAAGAGCTTCACGTTTCCATGTCACAGGTATATTAACATATTTACCTTCGCATTTATGAAATTATTTTAAAAATTCCCTCCGACGTTGACATTTATATTGGCGGGAGCGTACTTAGCACCACTCTGTCAGTTGCCAACCCCAACAAACTTGGCAATTGAATAATAAAATGCGTAATACAATATACGGCGGAGCGTAAAAAGTGAATTTGGCGCTCCGTATACGAAAATATAAAGCGGGTCGATGGTACACTGAGTTGATATTTTTTCCCTTAAAATGTTACGTGCAAAATGTGTGGGTGATTTGCGTGGGAATGTGGTTTTGTGATAAAATGTAATAATTAATGCGATCAGGATATTATTTAATGAGCAAATCATTGAAGATAATAATGCATAACATATCTATGTTATATGATACCTATTAGGTACTAACAGTAGGTTCAGTTATTTACATTTAAAAAACGAATGAATTGAATTTATTTTTAACAGAAAACCATGAGATTTTGAACTTCCAAAGCACAGGAATGGCGCTTTCAATCACTTACCATCAAATATTAATTTAAGTTAATCATCAATAAAGACCTTGAAACTATCTAAAATTCATAAATCAAAATGTAATCTGCTACAAGTTAGGTGATAATATTCAAAAAGTCGTAAGTACAGATAAGGGCTCTCTATAATTCAGGCACTATTCATTCAATACGGGTGAGGTAAACCACGGTAAGTTTACGAGGCAGGCTGGAAGCGTTAAGCCCCGAATGGATTAGCTCTCGACATAACATAAGATAGTACACAGAAAATTCACTACGAATTTCAAGATAATCTTTGACGTGATCTAGAAGTGACATTCGTAGATGAATCAGAGGTCAGTTTGAAGTAGTTCATTGACCTCCTTTTGGAATTAGTTATGGTTTTGGTGTTGATATTTTGTGACATCTAGAGTAATCTTTTTTGATTTTAGCACAACTGTTAGTTCAAACCTAGAGATGATAAGTCTTTATATTAACAACAAGAAATTAAAAAGCATTTAAGCTGAGCTCTGGCCTTTTTGCGCCGTATTCATTGTTTTATTTTTTTTTATTGTTATTGTACTTTGTGATGGTGTGCAAATAAATCAAATAAACAATTTTTCTTTCTTTCTAAAAACAATGAAATGCCAGATAGTTGGTAAACTACAAAAAAAAAAAAATAAGTTTTACTTATAGGAAATTAGTCATAAGTTAATTTTGAGTGCGTAATTTGTGTACTGTAACACAATATTTTGGTAAGTCAAAATTTCATTCATTTAAACCGTTTTTTTGGAGACACAAAAAGTTTAACGCACTTTACAGTCATTAAATATTGAAACCAGTACTTATATTTTAAACTTGAAGTGTAAGAAATATATTTGTGAACCTTTTCACAATGCCTGTCCTTTAAAGTTCCCTAACCGCACGTCGGGTGCCACATAGAAAGAGATTTTACTTGCTCACGTGCTAGTTTCAAGCCCAAACTACGGATTTAAGTATTTGCTTAAAAACTTTTTGCTAAAGTATCAGTAGGTACTATCTTCACTGGAACATTGTGGTCTATTGATGTTACTAATTGGATTTGTTAGTAACTGAATTATTGCTACAATTATAATGCTTTGTAACGACCATTTATTAATTTGCGGTTGTTTTCATGGATTTGCAACAACATTTTAAGCTTTACATTTTAATATATTCTTTACTAGCGACCCGTCCCGGCTTCGCACGTATTATATATATATAAACCTTTCTTAAGAATCACTCTATCTATTAAAAGAAACCGCATCGAAATCTGTTGCGTAGTTTTAAAGATCTAAACATACATAGGGACAGACAGACGGCGAGTAGCGACTTTGTTTTATACTATGTAGTGATGCAAAATAAGAATTTTACTCACACATTTTATGTGGCATATTATAATGTACATAGTTTTAAGCACATTTTTGTTGATATACATAGTATTGATTCGGTGTCTTTAATTTCGTAAGTGAATTTATAAAATTAATTGGACTATCAATTAAACATGTAAATATTCAGTAAACTGTGCCTTTGTTTTAATTTTGCTCTTTGTTCCCATTTATGTATAGTTGATTTATTTTATTGCACCAATTATCTTGTGAGTAATGATACAGTGTGAGCTATATGTTCCTGTTCTTCATAACGAATGTGGTGTGCTTTTAATTTGGTTCAATTATTTTGTATTGCTCGTGTAAAATAATGTTTACAGTCCGAAATGAAAGTTGAATAACATTAAACATGTCATATCATTTAATTAAGCTAACAAATCTACGGTACGAAAAAGCTATTGAGTTTAACAGCAGTAATTGATTTCCTAAAGTAGATTCCCTAGAAGTAAATCTTGAACGCTTTTAGTTCACCGACGACAAGAAAAGGAATCGCTTGAACCGAAGCAAATCCGTCCAAAGAAAAGTTATGTGAGACCGAACAAGATATATACTGGTCAAAAAACTATTAGACTGTACTGAAATCCTCCCGAGACCTGCACATACCAAAGAAAAATAAATTACCTGATTTTGCGCGCAACGAAGCACTTACATCTATCCTTTTCTAACGCACTAATCCGGGCGTACCAGCGCGTTATACTTGTCACACTCTGGCTTTCATACATCACGTATAAGAGCATTGTAAGCCCCTAAAATGAGTGTTTATTGCTGATCCTTCGAGCCGGACTCTTGTGAGCATCTTCGGTGTTAGTAAAAATGGACTTTATGTCTTTGTCGTTAGGGTCAGTTTGTGGTGTTTCAGGGTTCAGGTGCGTATACAGACTTATCCAGTCGTTATTCTCGTGGCAGATGTACGTAGTTCTGGCCGGTGAACTATGGGGATTTGTTGAGTTTGTTGTGAAAAATTGTGGCGTGTTTTGCTCTCAATTCTTTGGTCCTGTAAGTTATTGGGGAGTTTTGTCACCGAGTCTGTTGTTAAGTCAATGTATTTATTATGTCCTTGAACTGTTTCTTCCGTATAGTTTCCTTGTGAGATCAATATGAGATACAGGATTATTTGTTCTGATAAACAAAACTTCCTCGCATGTTCTTGTATACAATTGTATTATCGGAAGTGGTAGTGTCGTATATTGGTCGGCAATAAGGAGTATCTCTGTGAGACGAGTATTGTAGGAAGTGTCGATGTATTCTTGATAAATATTTATAGCTGACATGCCCTGAATATATTTGCGGGAGATATTTCCATAAACATGTTTGTATTCCAGTTACGAGAGGATTCACTGATATTATTGGACTTAGGTTTCAGTATTTTCGTCCTGAACGTGTGACTGATTGAAAATGTGTTCTAAATCGAAGAAGTTAAAGTTGAATTTACGGTAACGACACACCTCAGCTCTCATCAATAAATTTTACCCTTTAGCGTATAATATTGTGAAATTGAAGCCTTACAAAGTATTCGTGTTTTCGTTTCGGTTTTCATCGTATTTCAGTAAACATTCCAACTTAGAAATTTTACTCTGAGTTTATTAAATTTCGAGTTTATTTATCAAATATCCATTCATTCTTGTAAATAAACTTTTGAATAACATTTCGTTTCTTATAATGTCTAATAATATCATCATTATTAACTTGCCTCATTATATTTTGTATCTCTATTATTTCAATCTATTTAATTTTTAACTTTCCTTTCGTTCCTCATTCATTTATTAAAAATGTTACCTACATGCATCTAAGTATAATCACTGTTAAACTCTTTCAATTCATCATTCCTATCATGATTATCCCGTCCATTTTTCTTTTACTATTTGACCCTATATTAAGTTCTTCATTAAAATTCCCATAATAACTATTCGTCCATTACTTATGAAATATATTGTAATCCACAGTATCGGAGCAAGGTCCCCACGAGAAGCGGCTGCTGAACGCTTTGCTCGCAAACTACAACACGCTGGAACGACCAGTCGCCAACGAGAGCGAGCCGCTGGAAGTCAGGTTCGGCCTCACGCTGCAGCAGATCATTGATGTGGTGAGTCCATTTGAGATTACAGAGCTTCTGCTGTGTTGAGGACTAGCTTTAATATTCAAGAATATAATGTGATCTTAGGGACTTAATATTTTTATGTGGAAGAGGTCTATAGTCTAACAGTGGGCTCTCACGGGTGGGTCATGGTTTAGGCAATAACAGTGTTTGATATTGCAGTAGTAGGTTATATTAGGTCAAGCTAGGGTGAGAAAACTAAGTTTGTTAATGTTTTAAGTACGGTAGTTAAATAATAATTAATTTATGATTAGTAAGTAGTGGTGTTTTGTTTAAAAGGATACAAAAGTAAAAACGAAATTACCAGATTGCTACCATGAAATGTAAACCAATAAAGTACATATTATATTGAGGCGAAACATTACAAAAATCTAACTCAAAATTAAAGAAAATATGACGCCAAAACCACAATAGTTAAATAAAAGTGTAGAGATATCGCCACAAGCCTTAAATAAATGCACAAGCATGAAGCTTCTTTATAGCAAACCAAAGTCGATAGTCCACTTAGTTTTTATATAGAACCGATATTTTTCTCTCAAATAAGGCTTTTATGTAGGGATTAAAGTGTCGAAGGGATTTCCATCGGGCGCGTCGGGTGGGTGGTGACAGGCTGCGGTACCGGTTCGATTAGCGACGTAATGGGTGACCGTGTCAACCTGAACGTTCTGAATCACCAGTTTTTGTATTTTTTATGGGTTTCTGAATAAAAAACAGGAGAGTAAAATTGTTCTGGCTTAATACGAGATGTGGTTTGTTAATGATGTTCAAGTTTGTAACGATGTCATTGGATCCAGAACTTTGAATTATTATGTCTATAACTAACTTAAAATTAAAGGTCTTTTTCTATCCCCACCCACGGCTATGGAAAAATAACATGAACTTATATGAAGGGCAGTGTTAACTCGAACACGTGCAAAAGGGATGTTTGAATAGGCACGATCTTCTATGTGCAGACTACGTGCAAATATTAAATTGAGTTAGAAACTTTATAAGTTTCATCCTTATAATCCTCAACACAGCGGAAGCTTACATAATTGATGTTACCTAACCCCTATTTTTAGTACTTAATACCTAATTTTAAGTAAAAACTGGAGAAGACATTTTCAGGCGGCCATCTTTGTATATTGTGGTCCTCAAATCATGTTTCGAAACATGTCAAGCAAGAAATTGTTGAAAAAACATTTGTTAGCAAAATATTCCAGTGAATAAAGGAGGCTTGTTTCCATCTACGCCAACAATATAAAGCTAACCGCCGCTATTTGTGTAAATTCAAAGTTTTCCGAAGCATAATATTATAATACATTTGCAAATTTTAGATAAATAATAATATTTTCCATTGTTTCAATATGCTGAATTGTAATTGGGTGGAATATTATATTGAATTTGTTAGGCAAAACTTATCTTGTCGGGATTTATGTTTAGTTAATTTTCGTTTTTCAATTTAGTCTCAAAAGTCTAGTGACTTCTGTTAACCTATATTAGTACGTAACTTTGAAATCTTTTCTCATACATTATCAAGACAAAACATTTCCTTAGCAGCCATGTCTATTAGTGCTCAAACGGCTAATAACGGCTAAGTGTAGTGGCCCCATGATGACGTCACAAGCACTAATAGCCGATTATCTTCTTAGTAAAGAGACCATGTAATCCAATACTTGTTTAAGGTTAATTTCTAAAGCTAATTATCAATAATGACCAACTAGTATCATCGGTACCATAATGTTACCACTTACATTGTACGTGAAGTCAAAATTAGATGGTTGTCACACGGGCTGTTTGCCAAGAAATTGTTGCAATAAAACATTATATGCTATTAAGGTAGATTGGTTAAGGTGTGGTCGTTTGTTTTAGTGAATTAGGTTTTTTAAGCGTTGTAAACAGTTGGGTCGCTACTTTGTGGGGATTAGTTTTTTAATTGAGATAATTGGTTCGCTCGAGAACACATGAGCGAATGCCAGTGTTATTTACAGTCACGAAGGATCATTGGAGATAGTTTTAAAGAATGTATAATAACTAAAACATTTAATTATTATGTTTTAGGCTTACTCACGTAACTGTTGACGAGGAATCGACTAGTTTCAAGCCATAGCCGTTTCAACATAATAATTAATTAAAAGTTTTAATATAAACAGACTAAAACATTTGTGTTACTTTTTACTTCATATTAATTGGAAACTACTAGCATCTATATTAATAATTTTGCCAAGGAGTACGGTAGACTCGATCGAAATATTACTTGAATAACAAAACATAAAAAATATCGATTTCGAGTCGACTACATATATCCGCAAAATTCGGATTACGGATATTATTTCGTTTTATTAATTAATTTTAATGACACTGACAGACAAACCGCAGTCGCCATCTTGAGTAGACAGTAAACGTTCCGTTTTATCCTAGCTCTCAAATACGCCTCGCCAATCAACACGTCGCGTCAAAAAAGTATAAATTAACAAGAAATATGAATAATGTGACCGTGTAAAAAAAGTGTTGACCGACATTTATATTATACAGAAGTCACTATTTCACGCGAACGAAGTCGCGGGTTACAGTTAGTATATTAATATTCTTTCGACCAAAATGAAGATGGTGTACTAAAAACTCTAGTTTGACCTCTCCAGTTTCCAAGAATATATGTATAGATAGCTGATACGTTTGTATCACCCGGTATTTAAGCCCGGACTCAAAAACGTTGATCCACATGGAAACATCAAAGCTTCCAGTGTTTCAATGCACTTTTTTCATTTAGATACGGTTTTTTATCGGAAAGAGAATATGTAAAGAAATATACTCGGATTTATCATATGCTAGTTTCTTTTTGAAAGTTTTGAATAATAAAAGCGAGTTGAATATTTATGTTTGCGAACGGAAAAGATGACAATGTCCGTAAATGTCTGTTTGTCAGTTTTGTTTTTGTCTCTGTTCACACATTTGAAATGGTTCTTGAAATTTTATAAGAAGTCTGAAATAAAGGTACGATATTCGACATTTATGATTTTTTTTTATATTTGATGGGTCGACGTTTGGCCACCATCTCGTCTGGTGGTAAGTGATTATGTAGACGACGATGGAGAATCTGTGACAAACACAGATTCCGGCAACTTAGCTGTTTGCACAAGGAAGCTTGAAGCGAAACGCTTCATGCGAATGGGTGGAATGTCCATCATATAAGGGTGGCGCCCTGCCGTTCGTCTGGTAGTACTACCAGACGAACGGCAGGGCAGGGCAGGTGGTGAAACGTTTCACTGTATTCGCTGTCTCGTCGTGGTTGCAAAAGCGTTTACTAACCTTAGGGTTTTTGATTTGATTTCCGTGTTGGGTAATGTTGTATGCGGTATAGTTTTGGAAAATTGATACCAGTCGCACAGTAGTAGTTTCTTTTTTAGGAATAGATGTACTCTAAGTTATATGACATTAAAAAATTACACATCACATCACGTCTTTTATCCCTGAAAGGGTAGGCAGAGGTGCACATTATCCCACTCGCGCTTACGACCACTCGGCCAACGAGGCAGTAAAAAATTAATAGATGAAAATTTGGCATCAAATCTATTGATCCTTTAGTCAAGAAGGATCACGTAATCTTGTTATATATAACTTCTACAAAAGTAACAATAGGTTCGTCTTTACTTTACTAAACAAAGATTATAGTCTGGAGAAAGTTTTAGTGCAGGAATAAAGGCTGTTTGTTTATCAAAGCTGCTTAGTACAACCGCAGTTGATTAACCTGCCTTGGAGGCAAACAAAGTTATAACCAACCTCTTTGCCTCACAAACTGATAATGTTTCTTTGTTTTATTACGGAACGAATAAAAGGTAGGGCTGTTAATCTTATTTGTGTACTTTATTTTCTTTGTGGTAAGGTTTACATTCGTTTAAGTATAAGGGTCATTGTACTTGTAAGTTTTGTTTTTATTTTAAAGGTGGTGTTTGTGGTATTGTTTGCTTAGGGTGATATGGTAAAAATGGTTCTTAATAATATCGATGAATCTGAAAATATGAATATGACGCACTCGTTCTCGTGTGAGAAGATACCCTATGTTATTCCAGGCCAAATTTCATCTCGATCTCTTCAGTGGTTCTGACGAGAAAGAGTAACAAACACACATACATCCGCATAAACTTTCGCATTTATAATATTAGTAGGAAGGAGGATACTTAAACTGCAAGTAAGAATATTTAAAAAGTTAATTATCTTCAACTGTAAGTTGTCCAGTAAAATTAAATACTTAAATCCATTCATGTTAATATGACATTGCTCTTTTCTTAGCACGAATTTCATAAACGATATTTTCCAAGTACTTACCTTTCATACTTATAGTTCTGTGCTAATTAAACAGGCTTGTTTTCTCTGACTTTGACTGCCTCGTTGGCCGACTGGTCGCAAGTGCGATTGCCGGCCAAGGGGTCTCGGGTTCGATTCCCGGGTCGGGCAAAGTATTACTGGGTTTTAAAAAAATCTCAGTAGTACCACGGAGTCTGGAAATGTGCCCGGTATATGGCAATAGGCTCACCCCCTATTACATGGAACTCATAACATAAATAGTGAGAAGTGGGTGTTACTTTTGTGTGCACCTCTGCCTACCGCTTCGGGGATAAAATGTTATGATGTTATGTTTTTAATATCCTTATTCACCCCCTAAAATGTGTGTTGCCTTCTAAGTTACTAATTCAGCCACAATTAACGAGCATCTAAATAATACTATCTTAGCCACTAGTTATCTTCTATGTAAACCACTCTAAATACAACTCAGCATAATGATTATTTGTTAGCATCTAAATTTGTAGCATGTAAACTTCTAAAATACTATTAAATGACATAGTTGTGTAATGTCCATTAAAATCATAGAGGAATTGAATGTATTGTATTTTATTAATACAATTTCATATTTATACGAAATCTGATTAATGTAATATTCATATGGTCAATATAATGACAGTAATTTGAATATTAAATTCATGAATGCGTATAAATTATAATAAATTAATGTTTATCGGGAATGTTCGCTTTTCTATAACACTCACTTCATTTCATAATGATAAATAATATGTTATTTATGTATAAATAAATAGATTACATAATTAATTTATTTGGAATAGTTATTAATTTATTTGACAATAGATAATAATAATTAGAACAAACAAAATAACTATTACAGTTGACTAAAACAATTTGATTCATTACAATTTATATGTATATCAACCGACTCCAAAATACAAGGAGGAAGTTTTCAATTCGACTATATATTTTTTTATTTACAACTTAATGCACACAAAAATAAGATACACAATGCGGACTTAATTATTAAACATTATAAATGGCGAGGCGGACTTAATTTTCTACCAGTCAATATACAGTAAAATAAAACAAAATAAACAACTAATGGTAATAATAAATACTTGTTATTTGTAATCGTTCTCAAATTATAGTTAATTTCTAGTTATATATTTCAATTAATATATTTATTTACGTGTTCTAAACATAAAAAAAACATTCGGAAATGGTTGTAATAGGTTTAAAGTATTAAAGTTGTTAAAGCTTTGTTATGTAGTTAATAATTAATACGCACGGCCACATCTTTAAACCAGTTATTTCAGTTATTTCACTCAAACTCTAACAATCAATATTCAACAAACACAAAATCTACCAACAGTGACAAAATAATTCCAAAAAATAAAATATACATTGAACAAAATAGTATGTTTGGTACGGAAATTGAAACTGTCTGGACATATCCTAGTGACAGACGGACTGTCGGTACTCTCCTTTGTAGGGAAGTACTCATGTCCTTTGCAGGGGACGGGATAATAGTGGGATCGTAGTTCCAGAGGTAATTGACAGTGTTTTTTTAAATATATAAGTATAAGTATTAGCTAATATATTGGGCAGTAATAGTATAATAGTGTAATAATAATAGTAGGATATGAAAGCTATTAAATATATTATACATATATTGACTGCCTCGTTGGCCGAGTGGTCGCAAATTTGACTGCGATGCCGGGCAAGGGGTCTCGGGTTCGATTCCCGGGACGGGCAAAGTAGTAGCACGGAGTCTGGCAATGTGCCCGGTATATGGCAATAGGCTCACCCTCTATTACATGGGACTCATAACATAAATAGTGAAAAGTGGGTGTTACTTCTGTGTGCACCTCTGCTTACCCCTTTGGGAATAAAAGGCGTGATGTTATTTTATGTTATGTTATGTTAAAATATAACTATTGCAAACTATGGGTATGGTCGCAATGTACAATATATTTCAGGAAGAAAATGTAAATGAAGTTACAATACACGTGATTGTAATGATTTGTAGTGGACAACAGTTTATGATTACAAAATAATTATTTCGTATATCGGTCTTCTTCAAAATATACCTCATTTTAATCTTAAAATACGACACAAAAAATTCCAAAACTCATGTAGGAACTTTAAGAAAAAAATTCATTGCAAAAAAATCCGCTGCAGCGCTGAAGGACAAAAGTATAAAGCGCCGTCGGCAACACAAGTTCGCATGGAGCCTTTGCAGCGGCCCTTGTCGGGTTGAGAGCTGTATTGAATAAATTCTCTAACTCTATATTGTAAAGCGTTGTGGTGTTATGAGTGAAGTTCTTCAAGAAATTTAGTCTTGAAAAATGTAAATACGTGTGTATTTGATAAAGTAAGGAGAAAACTAAGTGCTGTGTAATTTTAAATTAGTGTTGCAAGTAAAAGACGCCGAAAATTAAGTTGGTCTTTTGATCCCAAAAGTGGTTGATTATAACTCAAGCGGATTATGAAGTTTGGTCCTAATTATAGTGATCTAAATGCCATTGTATTTTTTTCATTAGCTATACTGTTACGTCCTGACTGTCCCTGTAGTGTACAGAAAACTGTTTGTATGAAAAAAAAATACACAGCCCCAAAAAATTCACAATGATTTTAAAGAATACATTTAACGCCAAAATTTCTATTCCACTTAATATTATTAAGATACCCGTTAGAATTTCCTATGTTTACTGGTAGCGGAATACATTTACATTCATCATAGTCGAGTCTAGATACATACGACAAGTGCTAAGTACCAAGGGACAGTCGAGTTACTACATCATAAACTATGTCAGTCCCACAACACTTTATGTTTACATTTTTCTCACCAAACGTTTTCAAAAGTGATTTAGAGTGTTTCTAGAATTCATAGTTTCATATTTTATTGTGAATTTGTAGAAGGAATGTAGTAGTTATATATATATGACACAGTTTATAATGACATTTTTGCTGTGAAAGCAATGTATCGTTAAAGTTGGTGTCATACCGACTCCCCATTTAATTGGTCTGCACGCTTGGTGCGGTGGTTGGGCAACCGGCTGCCGTGCGACGTGTCGCGGGTTCGATTCCCGCACGGAAAAACAGTTTGTGTGATCCAAAAATTGTTGTTTCGGGTCTGGGTGTCATTGTGTATGTGAACTTGTATGTTTGTAAACACACCCACGACACAGGAGAAAAACCTAAAGTGGGGCAATGATTTTATAAAACAATAAAAAAATAGGAAGAATAAAAATCATAATATCGTAATTTTATTAACATGAGAAGTAATCGACAATAGACTCTGTATATTATTAGGTAGACATATTGTATCAAAAAACATTCAGGGCTTGTTGGCTGGTAGGTAAATACGTTTCCACAAAAAAATCTCTTTACACAAAAGTCCGAATCAATTACTTAACCAGCAACATCTCTGTATCCGTAATGAACAATATCTCGAGAAATATTGTTATTACACATTACAGTATTCCATAAAAACGAGGTATCCACCTAATCAATCAATCTCTTCGTCCCTCCGGTACATAAATCTTTGTGTGTCATAAACTTTTATCAGATGCTATCTTAACTTTATTGGTCTCTACAGATCGTTGTTTATATGATTCCTAAAAGTTGACTATGTATAAATATGTCAGGCGAGGTCTGGGATTTATGAAGGAGTGTTTAGGGTCCTGTTTGTATGTACTTGTAGACTGTGAATCGTCGCGGTCTATTTCATTGCCATGTTTCACCGCTTATGAACTCTAGTTACGGCGTAACAAAAGATCCTGCTGAGAAAATGTAGTGCAGGTTTAGTATCAAGATGCATTACGTTAGTACTCTAGAGACTAGAGAGCGCTCTCTCTAATATCGGTTGTATTTAGAAGCTTTATAGCAAGGCTTAGCCTCAAGTAAATACTGCGGACTTAGATAGTAAATTGCAGTTGAGCTACAACGTCTAACCAGCTCAGACGACCCTAATATCCAAGTCAAAGATTTGAAATGCTACTTAGACTACAGAGACGAAATACAACCATATCGTAACATAAAATGGCAAAATTAAATCTGTCTCCGTCAAATATTTCAACTTAGTCACAATAAAATCCGTCATATTTTACAAATGGGAGTATAAAACAACCGTCGAGCGGAATCGTAAAACGCATTACTCATCACCCAACTGCTCTCTGTTATTCACTGGAATATTTAATTGCTTCGTCTTAACGACTGGCCCCAGCAAAAGTGGATTATCCAACACTTAAATCGAGGGCAAGAGATTAAAACGACTTTGTGGTTCATCTGTGTTTTTAGATTGATATTTAGCTGACTTCAAAGAGTACTTTACAATGCTGCCTTTATACTCTTAATTGAATTTGTTGGTTTTGCTAAAATAATGAAAGAGAAGTCATCGAAGTTATTATTGGAGTACTTAACATTGAAACGAACATGAAGTCAGCTACTTATATTGCCAGTAAGAGGTAAAAGCTTAGACCCCTCACGGTACTGTTGTTCACCATATTTTTTCGTTCCTTTTTTGCGTCGGCGTGCGTACCTTTTACAAAATAAGGATGAGAAAAATCAAATCCTGACCACAAACGTCTGGCTCAATTTGGTAAGTGGTAGGAGCCGGGTATGGCGCCTTCGCCCTCCCGCCCCCCGCAATCCTACCGGGCAACACTACCGGGTAACGAGCGATATAACTACCGTACTTTCCACATTCAATCAGCACTGTTTACCGCACTTTTTTAATTCACTATTTGATGCACTTGGAAGGGAAGGTTACAGGAGGCGGGCGCGGACAGAGGGCGCCGCCTTCGCGGCAGATCTGTCGCATGGAGTCAGTGTTAAATTGTTGTAAACTACGCATATAATATCTATTTAGATTGTGTGTCCGGCGGTGCGCGAAAATAGCTTTTAACGATCGCATGACAAGTGGCATTTTCGCCCGCCGCCCAGCCCCTAAGTATTGTGTCTCCGGCGGAGTGGAACAGTTTGTTTAGATCATCATACTGACTGCGCCCTTTCTGTTTTTGTTGACATCGTCTAACCCAATAGGACGAGAAGAATCAACTACTTATAACCAATATATGGCTGTCGTTGGTAAGTGTGAATAAAAGACAAACCTAAAATTAACACTAAAATTTCTAATCATTATTTTCGTTTCTACTCTTTTTTAATTTATTTCTTTTTTTGTATATTACTCCTTCGTTCTGTCTATCTGTTTGGGTTATTCTTCTAATCTGTGACTGTTATGAAAATTGCATAGCATTGTGGAATATGCGGCAGTCTTTTTTTGTATTTTACCTGTTTATGATATTTGTATGGGAGCTGCTTGACATGTCCACTTGTCCAGATCCTCGTCATCGCTGCCCCGGCTCGTGCTGTAGACTAGCCAGTAGACCCTATCATGCATCCCTTCATACAAACTGTCATAAGTTAGCTTAGTACTGTACGTAGTCGATAGAGTGGGTACGCGAGTGCCGGCGCCCGCTCAGCCGGCTGGCGGCCGACACTTGTGTCTCAGCGCCCACTGCCGTGTAAGCCGCAATGCGTTTAACAATATGTACTAATGGTTGACGTTAAGTGTGACGTGATAACTTAACATAACATAAACTATTCAAGTTTCTCAAATGAAAAATAACTTAAACGATGTGTTAAAGAGGGTCTCGATAGGTCAATTGGAAGTGACATATTGGTGAAGGTTAATGTTTCTTGATATGCACAGATATTGTTATTGAGATGAAATGTGTTTTATGTACACTGTAAATTGATTATGCACATCCTGGGTACCCGCTGTTGATTTTATTTTGTTTTTCGCTACAAGAAATTGTAGTATTTTTCATACTATGCATGGCCATGGAATGTTTATTACGGGAGATATATCCTCTTTCAAATTAAAGTGTGGTTACCATGCTCGAATCTAGTTTGCCTGCGGAGTAAAAATCATTGGGACGACGTTTTCGATTATTTAAAAATATCTTTTCTAAAATGTATTTCTATAAATCTTTCTACCTTCTTAAAATGTTTTTTGTCTTGGTACCTGTATGCGTCATAAAATGCCAATTTTTAAATTATTATATACCTATGTGTACATAACTGACAATAAATGTACACACTTTTAAATTAATTGTTATATAGACCCGTTTTGTTTTTTTTATTTTGACAATAGATTTTGTGCTTCGGTTCCCGATTTTACGAACGAATTTTTGTTTTATTATTTTATTATGTTAATAAAAAAAGAATAAATAATGACGCTTAATGTACATACTTTTGATGTTGGTCATGAACGTATTTACTGTATATTTCCATAAACGAAGCGTGCCATATATTTTATTGACGAATACTTTTTTATTACTATTAGTATTTTGTTTTATTCCTTTCCCAGCAATAAAGGTATGATCGTTAAGCTATTAAAACTAATTACTTTAGCATTTACCAATACGGCAGCTTAGTTTCAGAAAAAAAATGTAGTGTTCCCCAATCCCTTGGTCTTGTTTTGACAGAAAAACGGCAATGTCCTATGTATCCTTGCAAGGAAATTAGAAATGTCGAGCTTTTTAGGAATACAGTGTGCTGTATATATGGAATTGTGTATTTTTATATATGCATGGTTCTTGTTGCACGATTTATTGCTTTTCTTAGTCGTATACTTCTCTTTTTGGACACCCTGTATATTATCGTATATCTAGTCTGTAATTGTGAATGTGTTGTCATGTGCGTAAACAAAATTACATATACTATATAACAAAATGTACAATTAGCTAAAATTCATAACAAAATCGCCACTCAATACACTACAAAGTTCTCTCTTCATTTCAAATTTTATTTTTCTCTTACAAAATCTAAGTTTTATCTTAGTTCATTGTACATAACACTGTACACTTCAAAATATACTTAAGAAACTTTGAAATAGAGTTTATATTTCAAAGTTGTTGAATTTAACGATCAATTTACTAAGTTACCATGCTCTTTTACCAATTCCAAAGTTAGTGTTCTCTCTTGAAAGTTTTTGAGTAAATAAATTCATTGAAATGGTTTTAGTTACTGTCATAAATTGCGGAGTGGTTGTATGGGAGTCAGTGACATCGAAGGTACTAGAAAAAAGTATTTATATATTTCTATTGTATACTTACACAACATTGTACACTGAAGTTATAGAACAATATGTGTGTGTAAACATACTCACACACACATATTATACAACAGGCAAACGTAGTGTAGGGCGCCCTCCAGCTAGGTGGAGGGACGATATACGTAAAGGCTGGTAGTGGTTGGATGCGTAGAGCTGAAGACGGAGCTCAGTGGCGTGCCATTGGAGAGGCTTTTGTCCAGCAGTGAACGAAAACAGGCTGTTGATGATGAAGAAAATACTCCGAAATTACTTGCCTATATCAACATATATAGAAAACTGATACGTTAGATTGAAGTCATTTCTTGATAACAATGCAAATAACGAGTATATAAGATAGGCAAGATGTTATGTTCTTTAAAAAGTTACATCTATTCAAAAGTGATTAAGGTACATTTTTCTGTAAAAAGTATCGACTTGTGATAACATATTCCATGTCATATGTCCCTATCACTAAGTACGAATATAATCCTAGCATACGTAACCTTTAAGCACGCAAGTTACTCCCAAGTTACGTCAAACCATATACCACATATAACATGTATCGCATATGTTTCGAAACAATAGAGACGTTAAACTATGTAATTGATTCACTAACCCCTCAAGAGAGAACACATAATGATATATCTGTCTCGCTTCCACACCGGCCTGCAAATGACCTAAATTGGAGTTTTTAAACTCCTCAAAGTAGTCAGGGGATGCTTCTATTGAATAATGATTATAGAGATATTTGTCCTTTACAATGAGTTGAAGTATTTAACATGCATAGATAATGACACTGATTTGTATCTTCAGTCAAGTTGCGTTAAGTTTCGAACAGCATAAAGGTATATTCTTACTTTTAACTTAACCTATCATGTTAAAAGTCAAAAATCAAAGCATTTATTTCAATTAAACCATAATTTGATACTTTTGAAACGTCAACAAATACAAAATAAATAATAGTCCGTCAGTTAGTGAAGCTAGGTGATTATTAAAGCTAGATTAAACTGAATCTTATTATGATTAAGTTAAAATACAGTTTTCGATTATCGAACCATCCTTTGTATTAGTTACATCAATCAATTCCAATCTTACTGGAAGATAAATACGAATTTTAAATTTCACTTTAGTGATGTGATGATCAGAATCAACAATATAATTACACATTCTGACTAAAATCCACAATTATAAATTTAATTCTTTAAAAGATCGAATACCAAAATATTGATAATAACTTAAAACACAGCTGTTATGCCCCAGTCCATGTCTCAAGAAAAACAATATTAGTTTTGGAGTTATACCCCTATTTGTAAGTACTTGGCCCCGGGCGTGGAATCTAATATCATACTATACAAACATGTTAGTATCGCTAGGTAGATATATATTGTAAAGTTGTGGGTCCAACTTTTGTAATATTAGTGGAGTGGGTGAAGTTTGAAGGGCTCGCTTTTGTTTCACTCAGCGAGCAGTTGTTATTGTTGCTTGGGTTATAATATGAGCGGTGTGGAAGTGATCACCAGTGACAATATTCGTACCCATGTTTCCAATACAAGGGCAGTTTTTTCCCCCCTACACATTAAATCTCACAATAATCCGCAAGATTTTTTATCTGTGCCGAAATATCGCCATGTTTGCGTTCCAATTTCGAATATTGTCACTGGCAACTTATCCTACAAGATTTTTAAATTCTGTTCTTTTTGTCGCGAGTGTCGTTGTCGGCCGATTCTTCTTTTAAATTTTATAAGCTGTAATATTTAATGGCTTTAATAACGCTCTTTGAACGGTTTTTAAAGAATTAATGTAGATGAAAAAGTTGAGGAAATTAAAGGTTTTAGTGCCGTTATTATTAAATTCGTAAGTAATCTAGGGATTGTGAGAAAATTGAATTTCTTTTAAACTGTAAAGCGCTGATAGTTTCCTTGATGCCTAGCTTAAAGTCGAAATAAAAATACAAGCTGATGAAAACGAATTCTAAAACGGTTCTACTTTAAGTAAAATCACTTTTATTTTACTAATAAACTTAATGAGAAGAAACAATTAATTTTGTTAATATTCCGTTTCTATGACGGTACGCGCTAGGCAGGCAGTGTAGCATCACAATACAAAATTATATCAAAGGAAATCTTTACGCTGAAATCGGCCGTAACAACGACTCCCGCCATTGTTCGGTACACTGGCGAGCAGAATTACTGGAATATTTTTGATATGTGTTTTTATATGACATTCTAAATTCCATTCTTTGACTCCACGCCCCGTTATAAAGTTGAATGTTTTTTACATTTCGAATTGTTGTAGTTTTCCGCAATGTTACTCAGAACGAGAATTAACAAAAAGTTTTCATATGAGTACCACATATAACAAGTTAAATATTCAACATTTTACAAGCTCCATTTAGAGATGACATTAATATTATAAAGCGGAATATTTAATATCACTATCAACAGAATCTTTACATTGAATTATTATACATTTATGATTCTGCTAAAATTTCTATCATAATACTGCTATCAGTACTTAAGGCTGCTATTTCAACATAATTTATCATTCACAATTCATAGCACCGCACCTCGTAACTGCTCTGTTGACATTGAAAAGTTGTTCTTGGACCTCTTAAGATGTCTAGCACCTTTTTATTACAGTTTTAACGTTTGCCTAATTAAAAACTACTCTGTCTTTCTTCTATTTTTATTACATTACCTCTTTTTATTCAATTGTTTTATTACGAAACTTAATTTTGTCACATTTCTATTTTTAAATTGAAATGATCATTATTTTTTATTACTTATTTTTGCATTTATTTTGAATCAGAAATGCTCCAATATTTTTGCTCGCACGTGTATCTGTGTTGACGGCGATGTCTCTGATTGTGCTGATGATGTGACAGGAGTGGAATGACTACAACCTGAGGTGGAACGACAGCGACTATGGCGGGGTCAAGGACCTCAGGATCACACCCAACAAGCTGTGGAAGCCGGACGTGCTTATGTACAATAGGTGAGAGTACTGGCAACGGGTATGAATTTTATATTCTTTATTTGAAAACAAAAAAAAGTTTCATTTTTTTTTAAGGTAAGACAGATAAATCATAAACAAGAGAGTCTTAATCAAATAAAAAGTTCGCTTTTGTACATAAACTTAATTTGGTTTGTAATGTAAATAATCTGTGAGAAAGTTTTAAATAATGACATCGAGATAATCGAAAAATTTTTGCTTAAGCTTTTTGTGTGTTTTAATGAGACACCAATTTTATTCTATTGTTTCATTTTTGGCAACAAAGGAGCTTAAATTGTAACGCACAGAGACTGTAAATAAAGACTTGGGGTTTATTATCTCGAAACGATTTAAACAATGGGACAACATTTACTTTTCACATTTCTAAGTAAATATTAAAATTAAAACTTTAATTAAATGAAAGTAGATTATAATTTAAAAATCGCTTCTCCATTTTAAAACATATTTTTATTTTTGACGAACAACAAAATGTAGCCGAAGTTTCCTGCAATTTTTCAGCTCTTAATTACTTTATAGGTTGGTGAAAATTATTTTAAAGTGACTGTAAGTAATTACAGGGCTTAAACCTCACTAGAGGGTCCTAACTTACTGAAATATGCGGACAAAATAATTATAAATTTCTTTAATGTTGGTCCCAACGGAAGAAATATTTTACCAGACTACTTTACATTTCAAAACCAGAAGATTTTAATTACAGCCGAACACGGGAACATTTCGACTTTAGCATTTCTAAATTGTAGAAATGGTTCCCTCAGAATTTTGGGAGTTTGCTACAAATGTCGAAATAACTGCCTCGCTCCCTGCAACATGCAATCTGCAGTGTCAGAACACAGTAATATAATCATACAATTTATTCTTAAATTCAAATGCAGTCGCGTCGTTCAAACGTCGTTAACGTTAAACAAATTTTCTCGGCAAACAGACGTCCGCGCAAAGTGGCGCCATCTGGCGGGGCGCCAAACATGTTATTCATTACACCGTTAAAGAGCAAATGATGTAAACCTAGTGTCACATGATTTAATGTTAAGTGTGTTTCATGTTTATCGGCACTTACCTGGCCGGAAGCCAGACGTTTACACGACACGTACATCTTGGCCCGATAACTTTTACGAACATCCATGGATAAGTAGTTATGGCTCAACAGCACCACTTTAACGACGCCATAGAATACAAGATATTATGAAGCAGATAGTAGATTTACTACTTTGCTATTTTTTTCTGTCGCTATCTCCTTTATTTATGGTGCTAATGCTCCTTGGAATGAGTATGCCAGAAAGGTACATGACCTCTCCTAGTTTGCAGAGCGCCCCTTTTTGTTTGTAACTTCTACAATTCGTTTTTCTTTTTGATATCCTTCCATGATTTAATGGGGCCTCGAGCAGAGAAGCGCCTATAAATATAAATTAATGATACAAGAAAAATCTGCGACGTAAACCAAAATCACATTAACGGTAATACATTAGGGTAACGATATAATTTATCTGTTGCTTTTACACGAACATTAACTCTGGGGCAGTCCCAAGATTTTAAACGAGATTTGAGCAGGCATCCGAATTAAAATAAAGGTCGGCGAAATTGCAGAGTTGCAGAGTCGGCTTGTGTAATGGCGGTGTAACCGCTCCATGTTCCGGTGTTTGCAACTGGCCGGGTTTTAACATTTCCAGACTTTTAACTTTCAACTGTTTAACAGAATTAAATGTGCGAAATTGAGCTGGGAACTAAACTTGGAAGTCCGCCAGTCAACAATCCTTTTTGCAAATAAAACGTTATCTCTGATTTGTTGGTGCGATTACGGGGAAACGTGTTGCAATCTGTTAATAGGATGTTTTAAATGTACGGGATTTATGTATGTTTTTATGGTGTACTTTGGCTTATTTATGGGAAGTTGAATTAAGTACAGTATAAAAAGCGAAAAGTACAAAGGAATAAATCGTGAACAAATGTAACTAAGAAACGGAATCTAAGTTAAAAGAATTAGATAATTGTGTTCTAATTACGCAACTTGTTGACGAGCACAAAGAATTTTTATTTTCTCCAATTGCCTTGGAATTTCTTTAGCAATTTTTTCATACGAGTGTAGAAAATATACGAAAAAAGATTTGCTTATTCTCTGCGCTCATTTGCCCCGCGACGCCGATGTATGGGGGCGAATGATACGAGCTCGTATGATATCTGTGCCGTGGGTTATTCGCATTTTCATTTGGGAGCAACATAATTAATATATAGCCTTGGGAAAATCGAGTAAATGTACACATCAGGAAAAAACTGCCGGGGAGAAGAAGGGTGCTTCTGTATATCTGTGTATTAATAGCTTTGTATGTGTCTGTACAGAAAACTTTGCACGCTTTATGAAACATTTTATGCGCAAGGAAAAGGAATGCGAAAAGATAATATAAAAACAAATGAGTACACTAAAAGATGAATATTGGAGGGAATGAAACGAATGTAAAATAATTCTGAATATCCAATAAAGTAACATCTGAGCACAGGTTCGATTCCTGCTATTCCTAACTTATTTATACCTTCAGATGTCAAAGAAGTTTTGCACAATAACAATACAAGTATCACCAAAAACAAGGCAGAAATAAAAATGGTTGGCCATATCTGTTTGCTATTACAAAAAATCTGGAAAGAATATAATACTATTTCTTTAAGCGTGTATTATACAATATTAAACTGGTATAAAAGTATTTGTGAACAAGTGTTTGCTTAGAGGACACTTTTATGTCCTATTTACATAATGTAAGCTCTAATAAGATACAGAAGGACATTTGGCTCAGTGTCGTATAGATTTTGCTGACCAACAAACTGTTTTATCGCATATGTACGATATAATAAGGTTGCTATTACCTTATTAATTTCAGATAGTCTACTACATTTCTTTATTGCGTATACATTTTCACTTTTAATCCAAAATCCAATTTAATAAGTCCATTTCAAAAGTATGAACAAAATGAAATCCTTTCATTAAGGATATTGGTTGTATGTGCCAAACATTGGTTGTTGGCGTTGGTCCAGTACAGCATTCGATTATGAAAGCTTTTAAATCACTCACGGGGCAACGTGATGGTAACACCTTGTTTACCGTCTTCGTTGCTGGACGCTGCAAGGCATGGGAGTGTGTTACACCGTCTTGCAATTACTTGAAGGTCTTATAACATAGAATATTGTGATGAACTTAAAAAGTCTTATATAAATAAATTTGCTGAACAAAAACTGTAAAGAGAAGACTAGTAGTATAAACTACATAGATAAAATCTCTTTGCTGCTAGCACATAAAAAAGTAAATTAAACTGATAAAAAGATACGGCACATTCATAAAATCTCGGTAATTACTGTAATAAAAGTCTTAAGAGCAATTTCCTAAAGGAGGATACATTTCTTTACTAGAAAAACCTCCCCACAAACCACAATGGACATCTAAATGTAACAACAACATCGGTAAATCTAAAAGGTGTTGAAAATACCTCGTCCATTCCTTAAGGGAACGACCCGACACCCAATAAAAACATGACAAAAGAAAGCTGACCATTCGGAGCGATCGCATATTTTATTCAAGTCACTGAATTACACTGCTGTGTGATATGAGGTCCACGTTAATACGGATTTGCTGGCGGGCCGCCAACTAACGGAGTGGTTACACACGACACGTCCACCGACCATGAATACTACATGCAACCATGACAGACACTTTTGTCATAGTCAACGCCCACGGACGTTTTTCGGGCTTTTTCACTATCTGAGAATTTTGTTACGTGTCCGCTTTTGTTTTGTGAGAGTATACCGAGTGCAATGCTTCTTTTTGGAGCGGACTATGATTGACGGGGTGGAAAAATCGAACTAGGTTTTGCTTTTCGCGTCCTATGTTGTCTGTTTTATATCATGTTTCCAAAGGTTGTAGTGCGAAAATGAGGTCAGTAAAATGTTAATGGTTAATCTATTACCAACTTCTACGTTTGGGATCAACTAAGTTTACAAAGAAGTACTTTGTAACAAAAGCCTAAAAAAGACCATTCCCGAGCACTTTAGAAACTGTTAATTCGTTTAGCTATAACTAAGTACTCAGTGACGAAGTCATTGGTGCGAAAATCCAAACATTAAACTCACTTTCAACCTTTTAACACTACGGTAGACATTAAAGTACTTTATAACTTAGAACGTCCTAACTTAATTGCGAAAATAAATCCCAAAAGCGAATTAAAATTAACTCTCTTTAATAACGCCAACATCAAAAGTTAGTTTAAACTAGTTAGGGCCAGTACAAACCGGTGTAAACCAGTATCTTCATTTCATCGACTGTGGTCCCCGGACGCTCGCGGACAAATTAGAGTTAAACTGTAGCTCAGACTAGATCTTGGATTTACGCTTTGTGGTTTAATTCGTACTAGTTGTGTTAATTGTGGTTTTAGGAGGCTAGACTTTTGTTGTAATATCTTTGTTACTGCTGGAATAATTTATGTTCCTTCAAGGATTTGCAACAAATGAGAATGGAACTGCTCACCATTAACCGTGATTTGTTCCTCTTCAAGCTTAAGAAAAGTTCAAATAAAGGGGTCATTTGGTGATTTCTATCATCTCTCAAAAGGAAAATTGTAAATGGTAGCAAAAATTAATATTCAAAATAGATTTTGTTAACCATTATTAAAACTGAAGACTGGGAGAACAGATCTACTTGTAATCAGGGAGCAGAAACCTCAAGAAGACTGTTATATACCGACCCAGTTCCGAAAAGAACGATTAAATCCACGAAAGCCAACATTTACTTTGACGCCAGATAATAAATCCGATTAGAATGGTGTTCATTAAGGGGGAGTTGAATGAAAAATACTAATGATCAGATTGTGGGCACGTTGATAAATGAACGTGGGCGATAAGGCTCCGTGTTCTTTATTTAGCCCATAAAGGCCTTTGTGGAGACGTGTGTAAGCCCCAGGGAGGTTTGTACAAAACTTGTACAGCGAATAGAAGCAAAATAAATATTTGAACTGCTAATGCGTAAGTTGGAGTTTTGCATCAACCAGCATTTTGTTTCATTCCGCCTATTTTCTATTGCTTAGCTCTAAGATGACCTTTGTATTTTTATTGTGTACCTTTATATCCTATTTTTAAATAATATATTTAACTACATAATTTTCAGAATTGTGACAGCACAGTAGGAGCTGGTCCCGAATGTGACGATCGGTACTTGACCCCTTTTTATATATATATTATTTTGTTTAAAAAGTAACGATCGTTCGCGTGGTTGAACGCTGCTACTCGGTGCTGCCACAAATAAAAATAAAATAAACGTACATGGCACGCTAGTCGCTGATTTGAGACACCACTGTCATTGTCTCGCTTGTCAGACTTTTTTTTTGATGGCAACTATTTCTTTACTTTCTTTTTTCTTTTCTCAATATTTTTTTTGTGCAGATGAGAAAGCTTTTTATGAAATCTGATGAGCGAGAGGATGGTTTTAGTGCAGTCAATGATAAAAATCTACTTAAACTTTAACTTTGTCAATGACTACACCATGTTTTATAAATAGCGTCCCAGATGAATCCGAGGCACTGACAAATAAATTACTAATTAAATAATTAATGCTTCATACTAAAAGCTCATTACGCTTTAGACATAGCTTTAATAAAAAGTATAAAATATTCTGTGTGTAATTAAAAACTTTTCATTTTTAAATAAATAATAAATTATGTACATTATTAAAAAAAGAAAAAAAGGTGTTTTCGAATTAATACTTTTATGCGACTTCACCGACGCTTTTCATTTTATTCTTCTTTGTAAAGTAATTTTAGAAAGCAAAAAGAAATGAGACGTTCGGTTTTTAAATTGGTATACATTTTGTAAATAAAATAAAACATTTTTGACGTCTAATGTGTTCAAAGGATTTTTTCATTAAATTGAAGTTACGAAGCTGATCAAAGAATGCTTTAGTACCCGAAATTCGTTTTCAATTGCAAGGGTTTGATAAGGGTCATTTCCTTCGTTTAATTTATATCTGTGAAATTTTCTGGATAATTTATTAATAACAGTGGTCCTTTCATTCATTACTCGTGAATGAGAATTGAACTTTGAGAATATATTACGATCAGACCAAATTTGCTTTTACGATGATGAAATCACCGTACTTTTTGAAAATCTTGATGGTGACCATGTTGTTTGAGAAAGTATATAATAATAACTTGATGACACAATTTGTATTGCTACGTAGTGCTGACGAGGGTTTTGACGGGACATACCAGACCAACGTGGTGGTCAGAAACAACGGCAGTTGCCTGTACGTGCCACCTGGCATATTCAAGAGCACATGCAAGATAGACATCACGTGGTTTCCCTTCGACGACCAACACTGTGATATGAAGTTCGGTAGCTGGACATATGACGGGAATCAGGTAGCTAAAACTTAGAACGTTTCGAAATCTGTACCATTTAACTCACGTACTTTGAACTATTATAGTCTGTGGCTCTTGAATCACTTTAAGAAATGTATGTTAATTCTTTTCACTCGCGACTTTGAACTTTAAAGCACAGATAACACTTTCTTCTTGTTAAGTTAGTTTGATTCTGCTTAAATATTTACTGTAGGTAATTTTCAATGAGATTTGTATCTACACGTTACGGATTCACCTGTCTGCTTTATATTTTAAATGATTTTTACTTGTCAGCACGTCCACCGTTAAATGATATTTAGTTATTATGTTTGAGTTACTTCCAAATATTAAGATTTCTTTTATGAATCACGAATTATTTCGTAAATTATATCTTGTTCACAGATTGTAAATATTTTATTTAATAGAACGAGTAAGATTACATGTCAGTTTTCATATTAAAAAAGTGTGAAATGTTGACATAAATATTGTTGTTGTAAATTAAATCAAATTTCTTTTTCAGTTTTTGTTTTGAACGATATTAAAAAATAAATAAACACGAAACTTTTTTCGAAACTATGTAAATATGTGAATACTAAAAATTTTTTTGTTATTTTTTAATACTTATTGCATTTTAAATCTTTTTAATTCAAGGCGGGTGTTTCTGTAACGAAGTTAAAACAATATTAAATTATTGAATTTATAAATAGTCTAAACGTTGTAAATTTAAACAAACATCTTTTCATTAACAAAAACAGATAATTCGAGCCTCATTACAATTAATTACTGTTAATTTAATGGGATTTAATTACATTATAACATTACAAATAAGAGCCGCGGCTGGAATAATTTAATTAAAATATCGCGCAAATTAATCTTTTTAGCATAAAATACAGGTTAGAATTCAGATTAAAATTAAGGTACATAAATTAGGTTTAAGGTTAGGTTAGGGGAGAAATCTAAGGGAACCATGTGAGAAACCTAGGATATGAAATATCCAGTTTTGTATGTACTATTTTGCATGATGCAAAAAATTAGAAATGTACATTTATAAGAAAAAGAGTCACTGATTAATGAAAACATTGCGAGCCGCCATACGGAAAATTCTGTAGAAAATGATCGTGTATTATATATGTATTATATATAAATACCTCTTTATTGAACATTTTGATTAGAACCCGTGTGTATTGTAATGTATGTTTTGTGAAAAAAACATGAAAGACATTTTGTATAATACAAAGTAATCACTGGTTTTGATCAAAATATATTAAACGTTAAATTTCTGTGTTTGTGTGTGTATTGTGAGTAGGTTTAATATGTTTATACAAATACACATTAATTATGAATGTATACAAATTTTATTAATGTGTAAACATTTTTATTGAAAGTTTTATAAATTTTAACATTATTCGTATTTTGTCTGCTAAATTATTCGATACGTTAATTTTATCTTCAGAATTTCGCATGTTCAATATGACTTGATTAAATTAAGTCAGCATAAATTGATTAAATAAATTGGTTATTTATTAATCATCTGCGCTCGATGTGTTGTTTTTATTTCATTTCATTTCGTTTAATTAAAATTAATGTAAATAAATAAAACTTCAATTGCGTCCCAGTTTATGGAATTAGATTGTACATTTGTCATTGTGAGTGAAATATTCATCTTGGTTCGATGAAATTACATCTTAGCTGTCAATTCTCAACGTATTATATTAAGACGATAAACTATGATATTATTGTATCAAAGATAAGATTTAGAAGAAACTCTACTAGTAACCGTATTCACTTACATATTTGGCACACTATAATTAGTAGATCGAATGGTACCGTAATTTAACAATGGGTTTTGAATACACCTATGTGTAAAATAACATACAATATTCATTGATTTGTCCCAATAAATATGCGTCCTTGTTTAATTTCCATTTATTGAATTAATTGCGGGAAACATTATTGTAATAATAGAGTAAATAACAATGAAGGTAATATTTAATTTCAGATATATTGAAAATTTACTGGAATGTACAATTTTTTGCTTTATTCTATGTTCATGCCAAAAGCGATTGAATGTTTTATAGAATAAGGTTGTGATTTAAGTAAGTGAATATTCTGTTACGGCTAATTTATTTTTATACATTCCAGAAAAGTTAATTTAAGATCCCCATTCGAGTTTGTAGCGACATTTATTTCACAAAATTTTGAATTCAAACAATTTGAAATGTCTCGAATAATTTAGCATACATTCAGGATTTTAAAACATTTTTATGCTCCAGCGTGAATTAATGTTTTAAACTTTTCTTACTTAGATTGTTCTTTTAAATGTAGTTTTTTTTTATAAAATGCACGTTTTACGTTTATTTCTTTAGAAGTTAAAAGTTTTATTAGATTTGAAATTATTTGTAACCATTTTGTAGCTCTTATCGGAGTTTATGACAGTCTTGGAGTGTATTGATTTTCACTCAAGAGTACACTCACGTTTGTCTCGTCTGTGATTTCTCCAAACACATTTTATATTGCACAAATATATTTTTGTAGAAAATAGTAAAATGTTTGTTTTCAGAATGTTTCATTTCTGCTACGCGATTGATTCCTCTCGGACTGCAATTCGGTTGATGGCTTCGTACAAATGTTGAAGCCAGTAGGTACGGCTAGGTTGGAGACCGATTGACCGGACGGCTGCCATTTTGTTTACAAACGACCGTTGTTGCAATCACTAACCTTTGTCAATTGTCGGCTTGGTATTGGGCATAATATTTTCATTAGCCTCCAGTGTTTTAAAAACCTATTGTTCCATAACTTTGAATTTTAGAACGTTATTGAAAAAAGAAGGCTCCATGATTGCCTTTTAAATTGCTTTAAAAGTATTCGCTTTAAAGTGTAAAAACCTTGAGTGAAATATAACAGAAAAGCTGTCATAAATATCCCACACGTTGAGTGATAACTTCTTGAATAATTCCGTAGTGTCCCGGAGTTGTGGCGCGTCTCAAACTCATTACTCCGGTTCCCGCCACGTGTTCGTTATAGACTTAATCTAACTTTGCCTTTGTCCTGTCCTCGTATTATTTTAACTTTCATTATAATGAGTAGTTTTAGAATTTGTAGTGTGACGTGGTCTGAGGAAACTGGATTAACTTGGTTCGTTACAAACTACATGTCTTTAAATGTTACTTCTGCTCTCCGGAGTGAAACAGCATTCAAGGTTTGACTATTTTGAATACTGTTTGACTTCGTACTTTTCCTTTACTCTGCATCTTCTTCTGTATTTAATGTATTTCCACCCTTAACTTTATTTTAACCTTTATTATTTTTAGTTTATTATGTTCTTAGTTTTTAAAGTAGATTTGTTTTTACAAAATTCCGTATGGCGGTGATATTTTTAACTGTTTAAAGCATGCTCTTGCATCCCCTTCCTTGTCTTGCATTTAGAGGTTCTCACATTTCCCTTTCGATCCAAGGTATACATATTTAACGAAGAACTTCGATAACCTAAAGATGGCAGGATCAAAAGATTGCAAATTGTAAGTAACTTGGCAAATTTTAAGCCGATACCGAATAATGGGCTTCGAGACATTTACAACTTATGAAATCTGACGGAATTTTATATCCAATAAAGTATGCAAGAGGGAAAAAGGGACGAGAAAAAAATGACAAAACGTTTCATTACGAAATTGCTTCCTCAACAGCAATCTTATCCCTTAAGAAGCCGGCATTGTATGGCGAATAATGGGAGATTTCCGTACCTCGATTTGATCCTGCTTTCTTACTACGTTTGGCATGTGTACTTGTATGGGTGATGGGTATTAGTGCATCTTGTTTGAATGTGTCAAACTACACCGTGTTTCGCCCTGACAGTTGGATCTGGTGCTAAAAGATGAGGCAGGCGGTGATCTATCGGACTTCATAACAAATGGGGAGTGGTATTTAATAGGTAAGTACAATTACAAGCCTTTTGTCCTTTATTTTAACGTCTATATCTGCTTCTATTATGAATTCTTTGAATGTTAAGTTTAGTTTCATGTTTCCATGACTGATGTTTTTGTTATTTTCTTTTTTGTTTATTCAATTTATTTTTCTTTTACTTATTTTTTTTAATTCAATTCAATCTTGCTATAAGACGTATCTGACGCTACATCAAACGTTACTTACTCAACAGGAATGCCAGGCAAAAAGAACACAATAACTTACGCGTGCTGCCCAGAGCCTTACGTAGATGTCACGTTCACCATCATGATCAGGAGACGGACGCTGTACTACTTCTTCAACCTCATCGTCCCGTGCGTGCTGATCTCATCCATGGCTCTCCTCGGTTTCACTTTACCGCCAGACTCAGGAGAAAAACTTACTCTTGGTCAGTATCGTCCTTCGCTTTTTTGTTTTCATTAGTGCGTGCTTCGGTTTCTTTGTCTCTATTATTCAATTATTTTTTTTAACGTGCAATTCTGAGATTCTAATTTTATTATTACCGAAGTACGTTCTATGTTGTCACGTTGTAATTTTGTGGTGTTAATTTTTGATGTAAAATATAGCTTGAGAAACAGTTGGTACGCTTCTTTGCTCAGAATGTTGGTATTCTGGAACATGAGAGTACCGATTGTCAACAATGTAATCTATTACCATGGATAAAGAATTGGGTTTTGTATAACACTATATCTCAAGCTGGCCATATTAAGGAATAAGCTATATCACAAAAATGTTCTTCCACTAAATTGGGTTTGTTGACAAGTGAATAACGTGGGGCATATATCTACAAATACATAGATATAACAAGTAAAAGAGATGCGGAAGAACGGAGCGAAATCGTCGTTCCATTTTCTTATCTTGAAAAGGCCACATTGTGCATATTCGTATCGCACTTCGTATATAGCACAAGTGCTGATGTACGCTCGAGTTTGCAGTGTATTTTATACTAGCTCTATGCTGTGGTGCTACCCATCTTCCATTCCATGTGGGCTGGTGTTAAGAGTCTATAAACGTTTCGCAGGTATTGGACTTGACAGCCAATTGTTCTTAATCCTGTCAAATCAAATTGTAATATCACTTTTGTATTTCAAATTGATCTCTTCCTAAATACATATATAGAATTGTATTGTATTTATCAGAACTAAAAACCTTAAAACATTAGCAGTTTTTGTTTAATACAAAATCTTGATAGCAATTCAGTTCTTTGTAAATATTTAGAGAATGCAGTGTAACGTTATTTTTCCAGTCTATCGTTTGTTCTAGCAGTTATATCACATGAATATACTTGGAACAACACTAATGATGTTGAATTAATGTGGTGGTCATTCAACGATAATGACCGTACAGAAAAACATTAGATGTTTTCATTACATGCGATCAGGCATTTAGTGTTGAGGTAATCGAGTGCTTCCAGTATTTGTTATAGCATAAATCTTATATTATTGGAGCATTTTATTCATTTACTGTGATATATCGTTAAAGAAACTTCCATTTACAAATTTCAAACTAACACATTTTGATCAATTATTGATCTAAAACTTTCACCCTTATTATATAAGAGACATATATTCATATTCAATATGTATTTATATATTTAAGCCAATTTTTTCGAACAATAGGCGTTCTTTTAGTTAAATTATGTGTATGTAGAGAATAGTTCATAGCGTCTTAATAGTTCATAAGGTTTTCACTCAAGAACATTTCACTGATCCACATTGGCCGGTCGACAGGTGTGACAATCTTGTTGTCATTGACCGTCTTTCTGAACCTGGTCGCAGAAAAGATGCCGTCCACGTCGGACGCAGTCCCTCTAATAGGTACCATCACGTAGGACTAGCGACCAACTATAGTGCACGCTGCTAACGTTCTCTTGATAGTAGGGTATATCTTGATAGATAATTAAAGGGGTTCCTCAAGGATGTGTTTTAGGACCAACTGCATGAATAACTAAGAGATACGGCATGTTTTTATAGGACGTCATTTAATTACAAAAATAAAATGATATCCAAAGAAGTTTCCACAAAAAGCAATTTAAAACTGTTGTGTAAGAACATTCAATATAAAATCAGAACTGAGCTACAGAGATATTGTTAGAAGAAACAGAAGCTCCAAGAAAACCAATTTGAAATATTAAAAATCCAATAAGAATTACAAACGCATTTAATATTCATCTCAAACCAACGATAGAAGCAACAAGAACCATTTAATATTACACTGTGGAGGCGAGAATTAATCAGAAATAATAAACGTATACCGTAAAAGCCAAGAATTCACGGCACAGCTTGTTGAACGTACCAAAGGGGTAATAAAAGTTTTAAGAGCAGTTCGGAAGCAGCGTGCACTGACATGAATATTAGATTGTCTAGAATGTGCTATGACTTATTGTGTTGGTGTTAGTTACCCGCTAAACCCCAGACACACATGTGAGACGGTAAGTATTTACTGGCGTAGATATCATGTCGACATTGTCATCATTCATAACATTAGCGCTCAGGGAACGACACATTACGATATTAAAATTGCGATCGATACGAAAATTGGAGAGCTGATAAACGATATCGACGTCAGTAGGGGTGTTAACCATGTGTTTGATTGCAGGAGTCACTATTCTTCTCTCGCTGACGGTGTTCCTCAACCTGGTAGCTGAGACCCTGCCACAGGTCTCCGACGCTATCCCCCTGTTAGGTACACTACCCAAACCTAACCCACACCGTTTGTCCATCCCGCTTGTATCCCACATTTATTTTTATCTTCATATTCATGGCCTCCTGGTACTTTTATTTCATCTTTCATTCTCTATTTTTTATTTTACTTCAGCTCTCATTTGTTTTTGTTATTAAAATGAACAATTAATAATTATTTTAAAACATTACAAGGAGTAAATTATGTACGTTTAAATTAATTCAGATTGTTGTGAGCTTAAAGTTGCTATTGAGTGGTTTCAAGCTTTCATGTTACTGTCTCTCAATAAATAACGTCAATTATTTACCAGACGTTGTTAAAATGCTTTTGCTTAAAAATAAATTAAATCGAGAATTCATTCTATTGGAAAGTAAATTACGAAAGTCGAACATTGAGTTGTTGTGAAAGTATTGTTCTTTTACGTATTTTCTTACAATGATTTCGGTTATAAATCTTGGAATCGATTCCGTGATTCTTTGCTTTAGCTTTGTCACTAATTGATTATTCATTATTTTGTTTCTTTGATCGATACACTTCTGTAACGATACTAACTCTCTGATTTAAGTGGCATGGCATGTGACTATAACTTTGTCAAGAGTTTAAAGTAATTATGGACACCGAAGGTAAGTTCCGATATTTTTATTCTAAATGTTTACACAACCGTATTTTTATTATCTTCAAATATATATGTGAGTTTGCTGTTTACGTAATCGATTCCATGGTGTACGGTTTTTGTATATGGGTGTTTATTTTGGATGTTAATGTTTTTTGGAAATATTTATTTTCTATCCATAGGCTCAAAGCCGTGGTTTCTGGATACTTGGAGGGTGGTGTAACTTTAGCGACAACTTCTATTAAACCCTTCTCCTAATAAAAGATAATATAATAAAACAATAATAAAACGCCAATGATAAAACCCTCTATAATAGTGTTTGCATGACTATCCTTATGTTTCGTTTATGATTTCACTTGAGCCCCTGATACTGACTCAGCACACAAACAGGACGAGATCCAACCAACGATGATAGACTGGATGGTACTATAGGTGTAACATTGTAAATAGAATATTTTGTTTTGATTTTGTTTCATAGTTTATATTGATCTTTGCAGGTGTTACAATCCTCCTGTCGCAAACTGTTTTCTCTCTATTGGTGGGGCACGTCATCACAAAAACCTCTGAGGCGATCCCCCTAATAGGTGAGAAAAGTACCACGCGTTTGTTACCTTTTTTTTCTTAAATAACTGAACTAAACATGATGATGATTAGTTTTTTTTATTAAAACAGAATGCAGCTTGAGGAATATCTTGGGGTGACAAACCTAAAATGTCCCTCTGCTCATTCATGAAACACCAACTTAACAAAGATCTAACTAGATATTTTTGCTTGAAGTTTTGAAGGAGAGCGTTTCTTATATTTTTCTGTTTTCAACTCGCATTTTAGAGTCTCGCCGTCTCTGGAGACTGATCTATGCTTTTACAGCGCTCTTGCGGCTCTCTCGACACTTGAAATAGAGTTATTGCACTTTAAATTCGTGCTGTTGAAATATGTAGCTAAACAGACTCTATCTAAAGGTAATTTCCTGAATATACTGACACTCGATCTTCTTGTAATGTATTAAAATAATGTACTAACATTACTTCTTGGTCCGTTCATTCAATTTTCATTTCCAAATCTATTTTACTTTCTTCGTTTTATTTTCTATTGGCCTTTCTGTAGACAGCCGACAGACACGCGACTACAGACGTCAGCTTCGAGCATGATTTTGAAATGGTTGAAAAATAAATAAAAAACGGCGAACATTACCGTACAACTCTCCTAATCTAAATAAGCTTCTAAATACTTAATTGCTTGTAGTTTAAAAGCAGGATTTAAAGTTAAACAACAGTTTAAAGCAACAAAGTGGATGCGGGTAGTGAGGGTCCAGCCTCCAAGTATCTCGTGAACTTCGGGTCTCAACTTGTCGGGTCTGTTACTATCCCTGTAATTGACAAAATGATAAAACTTATTGAAACCTTTGACAAAGGTATTTGTTGAGATAAAACTTAGACTAGACTGACCATTGACTATTGTAGTAATTCTAAAGCAGAATTCAATACTCGTGTTCATGTTCTCAACTCCCAAAACAATGTTCTAACAAATTCCTTTGTCAAAGTCACGCCTCTTGTAACGTCACTTACAATTTAAATATGTTAATAACTTGGAGATTAACAGCAACGTCGTTACAGGAGGCGCTAAATAATAAACTGAAAGCGCTTGTCCAAAAGAGATAATTGTCAATTTAATGCTCAAAGTAATCAAATGACAGGCACTTTCTTTGGCATAAACTAATAAAAGTAGGTGATAAAGAAAATAGGAGCCATAATTTGTCGTGTTTATTACAGTTTGAATTTTAAAAGATTATTGCTGCGATAGACACGACAGAATATCATAAAACGTTGACTCATTTAACTTGATACCGTCAATGTAACGCATAAAAGCTAAAACTCATCTAAATGTAGATTAGAACATCGCATGTACAATTAAAATGCATGAATGTGGCTTTCTGTGTCATTGTTAATTAGATTATGATATAGCTTTGGACCACGTGCAATTATAATTAAAAATTTAATTATAAAACTGTAAGATAAACACTGAAGTACTTAATTTATCTCCTTACCATTTTCATTTACTGTTCGTGTTTGTTTGTCACCTTAGCTTTAAGTAAAATGTAAATAAATTTCAAATTTATATTGACAATCCCTCTTTAAAATAGCTATAAAAAATTGACCGTGGATTTTTGTCCGAGAAATATCTTTTCGTAAAAAAAGTTTTTCAAATATTTCTAATGCAATAAAATACATCATCAACTTAATGAATATATAGGCAATGTGTAAAACTACATATTGTATGTAACAGGGACATACTTCAACTGCATCATGTTCATGGTAGCGTCGTCAGTGGTATTGACAGTCGTGGTACTCAACTACCATCACCGGACCGCAGACATACATGAGATGCCGCAGTGGGTGAGTGTTTTGATACAATAACTGAAAAGTCAATCACATTTTTTTAAAGGAAAATCGTTGCTCTTCCCTAGGATTTTCTCCTGTGTCATCGTGGTATAAGAAGTTTTATAGTATATCCAAAATAACGTTTACAAAAATGTAACATGAATTCAGATTATTCAAGTATCAACTTAGGTTATTTTCGTTCGTATCCACATAATTAATAACAATTTATATCAATCTCAATAATCAGTAAACTGATTTTGTGACTAGAGACAGAATTTGGCACCACTTAGTGTGGATTTTATAATACGGATAACATCTACAAGGCGTTCTATTGACCATGCTTCAAAATTTTTAAAAATCGAACGCCTGGCCATTTGCAAACAAGCCTGAAAAGAGCATACCTACTAATTTTGAGCAATATTCAAACACACATGCTACTAAGCGACAAATAAAGATTGAAGCATGCTTCCGTGCTTGAAATTGGCATGTGTAATAGTACCTTTACGGCAAATGTCTTATAGATAGAGTAGATGGAGTCACAAGATACAAGAAGAGTGGTTTGTAAAAGAAATATATTTTTGTGACAGATAAAATCAGTGTTCCTGCAATGGTTACCATGGATCCTGCGGATGTCGAGACCAGGGAAGAAAATCACAAGAAAGACAATCATGATGAATACGAGGATGAGGGAGTTGGAGCTTAAAGAGCGGTCGTCGAAGTCATTACTGGCCAACGTACTTGACATAGATGATGACTTCAGGCACGCTCCTCCACCTCCTAACAGTACAGCATCCACTGGGAATTTAGGGCCAGGGTAAGTAAATATAATGATATTCATAATTATTTTTTTTGTCCAAAGCTTCTCATGTCATACGTCCTAGCATTCAAACACTCTGTAGATAAGGTACAAGACCTAATAGAATTAACAATTAACTTCTTAATGTACAGGATAACAATTCCTATAAGTGTCGCAGGTATTTTCTTATCAAGAAACGTTAATAGGCGCAACACACTTAAGACAAACATAAAAGTTTCCTTCATCACCTATTTCTGGCTTGTAAACAGTTCTCAAATCAATATTGCCTTTTTTTTATTAAAATCTTATTTGATGTGACTTCTATGTTGATATTCTTTTTTTCAATTTCACCATGTTGGTCTAGGTGCTCAATATTCCGCACGGATTTCCGTCGGTCCTTCGTCCGTCCGTCCACTATGGAGGATGTGGGCGGCGGGCTGGCCAGCCACCACAGGGAGCTTCATCTCATCCTGAGGGAGCTGCAGTTCATCACTGCAAGGATGAAGAAAGCAGACGAAGAAGCTGAGCTGATCAGCGACTGGAAGTTCGCTGCTATGGTTGTTGATAGGTAAGATTCATGTGGATATCTTTACAAATGACTTATCGTTCGACTATTGTCTAGTTAGTATAAGAAACTATAGTTGTATCCATACAAGACGTAAAAGTATTTTTTTGATCACAAACCTTAGTATCTCCCTTCATAGGGCGTCACATTATAATGAAAGTCTGATACAGGCAATAACTCGAAGTACAAAGAAAATGATCCGATTCAATTCGATATTCACTTAAATCCGAAAAGCTCCAGTGAATTGATTAATGAATATGGTGAAACTACATTCATTGATTTATAACTGTATTGTTTTCACAATAAAGGGGATTAACCAGCATCGAGCCTTTGTTCCTACTTAAATGGACGATATTGATATTTCATTTCCATATGAACAATACAATTTTCGTAGGATATCTTTTTAATGCGACATTTTGTCAGTATTATTTTGTGATGTACGACAAACCGATTGGTCGGTAGTTAAATAATATTGGTGGAAATGGGCAATTGTACTGTTTTGTGAATAACATGTGTTGAAGATGGAGTTGGCTTTGTAGACCACAAATCTTAAGGTACGATTTGTTTTAAGAGTTAATATGCCTTTTTTAATTAAATAAAATTCAAAATCACATTCAGTACCAGAGACAATCTGGCAATAAATAAATAAATGAATAAACCACATAAAGTTTGAAACTAAATAAAGTAGCAATAAACGTACAACAAAATTTAATTAGCAGTGAAAAGGTCGTAACTTGGCTTTTTATGGGCCAGTAACAGCTACCTTAGTGAATATAACACCGTACGAAGCGTGTGTAACAATTTATATGACAAGGATGAAAAATGGTGGCTTGTCACTTTGACATTAGACAGTTATCCTCTGTGCCATTCTCGTAGGTCTGTGGATAACGCAACGGGCGGAATGTCGAGCGAGGTTCAACGTACTGTGACGTAAAATCGCCTAATGCAGTCAGACTGAAACTGTAGGATAGGATAGAATACAAAACCCCGCTCCAAAACCCCGTTGTTTAAAATCCTGACATTCTATATACAGTTGGGATTTTTAACTGAAATTCAAATTAGATTCTTCATTTTGAAATGGAAACGAAAATGCATACAATCGGATACACGGATGTTTACGTATTTGAATTTCAATGATGTGGTTTTAAATGGAGGAGGAGTATTAAGGAGTTCGGAGATTTGAAAATAAGATTGTACGTTGGAGATGGTAGATATTCTTCGTAAATCTAGAGTTTAGAACTTTACTAGACGTAACATAGATTGGCCACTACAAAATGTATCCGTACTTCAATGTACATGTGTAGTTAGGTATTGTTAATGTACCGGACTCGGGTTTTCCCCAGGGCGCTATCTTGTCGCCAACTCTAAAACAATTAGGTAAGTTTCTCGACCTGACCGCTTATTTTTGTCCCCAGGTTTTGCCTGTTCGTGTTCACACTTTTCACAATCATCGCAACAGTGGCTGTCCTGTTATCGGCACCGCATATCATCGTGCAATGAACCAACTACTAGGTGCCTCGGGTGTACCGGCACAAGTATGAGAGAACTAATTATTAGTATGCCGATTTGTAATTATAATTAATAATGTAATTTAAATAAATACGTGTTTGAAGCGCACACGTCTCCTTAAAAGTCTTAAGACATTAAATTACGGTAACTTTACATTATTATAGTTAAGTCAAATGCTAATGGAAATTTCAGCCGGAGCTAGGAATTACATTATGAAGGTCGTTCTGTTGTTCGTGTTGTACTAGTGTATTGTTGTGTAATTATCTTTTTGCAAATAAAAGAAAATATAAACTTTTGTTTCTTCGAATTTACTAAGCTCCTTGAGCTCAGACTCAAATTGCCATTAGTAGTTATTAAAAAAAATGTGATGTTGACTAGGATGTTATACAGATAAATGTTGACGTGTCTAATTTGTTAAAAAACAATATTAATAACTTTATCTAAACGGTTTGTATAAACGAAATATTAATGAGGGTTCATTTGATGGAAAGGAATGCTTTGCTGGCACAGAGTTGCATTAATTTAGAAAAAGACATCACACAGGTTTGTCTGGACATTGGACTCTTTGAATGAAAAATGAGGTTTGGTCAAAAAAGTTTGTAAAACAGAAAAGTTTGGTTCTGCGTCTGTGCTGGAATTAAAATTGTCGTAAATTGAAGGAAAAGAATGTCCTTTGAAAAATTACATTTCAATCGGTATCCTTTTTACATGTAATGAGGGAACACAGATGATGACAAAACCTTAGGGTATTAAGTAATGTACATAATGGATCAAATATCGGTAGAGTGAAGAATAGCTTAACGATTTAAGATTATTCCATTCGATATTAAAATTCGATTAGCGAAAATCGCTACGTTTACATCGTTACATATCGATTTGAATCGATATGTATTATATAGATTGGGACGTTAGTGAAGATTGTGAAAGTAAATATTGTAATTATTAAATGAATATACTACGAAAATTTAATCCAGGAATTGTTAAACAGTCATGGAATTGATAAGAATTCAACATTAAATACGGAACCAAAGATAGACTAGGTCTAGCAGCACGGGGTTGAATAAAAAATAATTAGATCCGAACGCGGAAGGTAACAAGTATTCGGTAGTGAGTTTTTGTTAATAAAAGTAATATCAATTAAACTGAAAACTGTTAATATCTCGTATCGATAAATGCTCATTTAATATGGATTGTGTAAAATTATGAAAGTGTTAGTGTATCGATATGAGAATAAGTCCCTAGCAACAGAAATAGCAACTGATATTAGACATCGGTTTGTGTTAATCTAATGCTTAGCGAAAATATTACATCGCCGTTAATATCACTAACCACCACGTAATATGATATATAATGTACATACAGAATAATGCAGTGTGTATGTATTTGTATATAAATTTTAGAAAAAAATCGGAAAAAAGACTAAAATATCGCATTTTTCACTCTAGTATTTATAACAACCAGTCTTATTGGGCAGGAATAGTACTATTACACGTAAGTACTAGATACTGTCTTTATATTGATATCATCTCGATAAGTCAAGCGTTATCTGATTCATTTCAAACGTAGATCGATGGGAGGCGATCCGAAATATTTTCGCGCCCAATAAGACGGCAGAATGTCACTTCGACGAATGTTCAATTGAAAAACTTTTTTGATTGAAATTGATTGTTATCGATTCCAATTCGTCATTGTCTACTCAATTAGAACCTTTTAGCACATACTGTAGCATCTATATAATAGTCGTATTATTTAAAAAATAAACAATTTAAAGTCTTTGTCTATGTCCGTTCCTCGATTTCACTCTTATAGATGTCGTGATAGCCTAGTGAATGTCGTGTCCCTTGATTTAAGCTAAACTTATAATGAAATAACTATTGTTAAGGAAGCTCATTAAAACTAGATATAAAATTTACGCGATCTGAGTGTTTTGCATAATTATTTAATATTCTTTTTGATATAGAAAAACATGAAAATGTGTTTACACGAGCAGTTGTAGTATTTTCTTGGATTCGTAATTACGAGTCTTGACGGGCTCAGAATGATTGTGTCTCAAGAGAAAAATACAGCGTGTTCTGAAATTATATTTATCAGAATAATGTATCATTATAACTTAATTATGTTAATGATTCCTGAGATTATGAACGTTGTCGTTTTGCAGAATTTATTTCAAACAGTGTGGTGCTGAATAATATCAGGTGTCGACATTTTCTTTTCGTATTTATAATTGTTATAAGTATAATTTAAAATTTCATAAACCCTATTGTTATCTTTTATTGTGTATATTTCAATTCGAAAGTGATGATAAAAAATAAAATTTGTAAAATTAATTAATATATTTAATTAGATTTGTTAGTGCCAAAAATAGGGTTTATAAATATTGAAGTTAAGTTGGTTTTAGGTATAAACGATGAAGTTGAGATGATTATTGTAAAGAAAATATAAAAAACGAACTAGGGTCTTTGTTAACATGTAATTTAACTGGTTAATGTTTGTATTGGGCCGCGGCTACGGGTTATTCAGCCAATTTTAAACTTATTTTGTTTGAAAAAAATAAATGAGAGGTTGTGAAATCGAATGTTAAGGCCCGTGGTAGCGGTTCAATGATAAAATATAATAAAAAATATTGATAAATAAAAAACGAGTAGAAACGATCTACGATATAATAAAATTTCAATAATAAAACGCCTGCATGGGACCGGGTTAGACTATAAATGAACAAAATGAACTGACGTACGTAAACCACTTCATATGAAACGCAAACACATTTTACAAGCAGTTACTATTGATTTAATCTCTCACTTTTACACCATTTGGTATCTTATAGCGAATTTTCTGAAACTTTATGACAATTTATTCACACTTCAATGTCAATACAAATTGTGTGGGGGAACTAGCAACACTGACTATACATTTTTTTTTCTATTTAAATCATAATTAATTACAAAGCAAAGACAATTTTCAAAGCCACATTTAAAAAAAACTGGCCGTATTGATTTTATTCTGACATTCGAAATTTGAAAAGTCTGTTCATATTTTATAAAGAGAATCATCTATTTAGTTTGTCTAAAAAAACAAATTATGTCTCAAAAATATTCGGAAAGTCGGTGAAGTAAAGTTTCCTCAAATATTTTGTAGATTTTAATCTCTAATCTATTTCCGAATTTCACTTAACTCTGAGGAACAGTTTACACACTATCGTCTATTTCTACACTAATACGTATATGTATACACATCTTTATATAATTTTAATGTTTGTATGGCATATGAACACATACTTATTTATACCTATTCTCTTTAACGAATATTTCAATGTTTTAATTGTATGTAAATTGCACTTAATTAATGTGTATTTTTTACTCAAATGCGTTGAAATAAAAAAATGGCAATGAATATACCAATCAGAATGTTTATGCGAATTAATTATGTTCTCATTTTATACAAAATTGAATATTTAATTATAACAACATATGCCATACAGACGGCTCTGCATACTGCACAACAGAAACAAAATGCTTTAATCGTGAAACAGGTATTTTGGATTTCCATGTATATTCTACTTCTGACGCTGTAAACTAAGATTTTAACTATTTCAAGTCTCATCTACTCTTGTGTCGTTTATTTAGCGGTAAGGAATTTACAGCCATTTTGGAAAAAGTAAACTTGTTTATCAAACATTTTGTTGCCAAGGACCTAAGAACCTAACGCTATACTTAGTCCTAATGTCATTCACTCAAAAATACGAAAATATAACAATTTTACCCCCATTTTTAAATTCTCAAAACATTTATCGATGGCTGTTTTCTTTCATCCCGCTGGAGCAATCTATTTTAAAGAAAAGTCAATTTTAGGATACGATATCGATGCTCGTTTTTCTAAGATCGAAAAATGTAGTGTACCTTTTCACGTAACTTGTGATGGCGGCCGATAGTGACATCTTGTTTGCTCAAAGACCCGCTGCCAACGATGCCGCGATACAACCGACTAGTCGAGCGCTATTGACACATGTCGAGTCTGTTACTCTATGGACACGAAAACGCGGGAAATACCTTTGAATTTAGAATCTGTAAGTTGCCACTGAGAAAAATATTTTCAACCTCTTTTCGCTTACTGATTTATTTTTCTGTAAATTTAGCAACAAGAGTAAATACACAGAAATAAAATGTTACGCTAACACAGTTCAAAGAAGTGGTTCTTTCGTTCTTTGGCCAACAAATCTAAGTCTGTGTCTCATTCAATCGCTATGTAGGCTACATCTATTAACATTACACCTGGTGGTTGCTCGCTTACTCAAACCATCTTATGTATGCAACAATTTAATATACTTAAATATTTATGTTAATAAACTCACACATTATCACATGCGCTGAGTGTAGCTTTTCAAGTACCGAACCAATTTTAATTAGGTAATTTCTTCATACAGCCTACTTTGTAAAATTGTTACAATTAATTAGTTCGTATCTCAGAATTATTTGTTTTAAGTTGCTGGAAAAACTTAAACGAAATATTTTGTTGAAGAGCTTTTGAGACCCAATGTTCTCGAAGAGCGGATTTCATTAACGTATTATACATATTCATGGCTACGCCTACGATTGTCTGAGATCAAGGAGAAATTATTTTCATTTATGTTTTACTTTGTATTTGACGAATTTGGTTCTTTTTTCCTTTAACAAAACAAAATGGCGGATGGAGAGCTACACCCACGCGCGTTCGGAAACACGTAAAAACATCGACCAAACTTGTTTTTAACTATCGAGCTTCTCAAATATAGTTCGATATTTATTTTACTAAATCACACATAACTCCACATTGTGTTCCTGTGGCTTAACCATAGTCGAAATAATTAATTAAAATTATAATAAAAATATATACGACTGCAGTAAGTTGATTAAATACAGCCGAGTGTAATGTAAGTTTATAATGAAAAGCCCCTATGGAGGTTTTTATAATAGATGAAAAATAATAAAAAATAAAATACAAAGGTAAATTTGTAAAAATAAATACAACGGGTAAAATGTTTATTCGTTAAATTGACTATCGTAAGTAGTATTCGATTTGTATAAAACTAAAATAAATTAAAGCAATCTGATTTATAATATTCTTGTCGTTTTATTTGCACACCCTTTGTGACATATTTTTTTATATGACAACATTTATTGGTCACTTGTATTAAAATAGACGACAACACTGGCAGTATTAGGACTATATTTCACCGGGACACCATGACGGCGCAGACGGAGGCGAAGGCGCGACACGCCTTCGCCTCCGTGGCGACAGAGTGAGTAACACACCACACAACACAACAGCGCTATGCTATAGTAATTAGTGGTGGGACGACCAGCGTAGATGAGCGACCAGTAACATTTTGTGCTGGCATCCGAACTGGTTGCTCCACCAGTTTTTTTTTTATAATACGTTGCCCCATACTAGGATTTTCTCCTGTGTCGTGGGTGCGTTTACAAACATACAAACTCTCATACACATGACGCCCTGACCCGAAACAACAATTTGTGGATCACACTAAGTGTTGTTCAGTGCGGGAATCGAACCCGCGGCACGCTGCACGGCAGCCAGTTGCCCAGCCACCGCACCAACCGTGCAGTCATTGCGAAGATTGTGACGATTACTGTCGACAGAGTAACTCTCTATAGAGATGCATACATTTTGTTGGTGGCGGCGACGGGTTGCGCTGCCACGGTGTCCCGGTGATAGCCCTTATGTGGTCGACAAAAAAAAGAATAACGGATTATCATTGAGTTATTAATTTCATGCAATCTTCATTTGATTTCTAAAGCAAAATCGAATCAAATAAATCTATGTATTTGCCGAATACGTTTTCAATTAAAATTTCAATTTAGTCGCGAATTTGAAATAACTGGCGGACCTGACTATTTGCTCAGTAAATCTGCTCAGTTTTTATCGATGAGTTATTTTTGTTTCATTATTAAATTTTGTGATCGTGTGTAGCTTGCTCACTTTTGAAACAAGAATGTGTTATTTTTTACCGTCTTCATAGATTCTTCATCGATATTATGCTGTGTACATAAGGTTGAATGTGTTATGTTAATAATTTAATTTTTATTTCGATTAATCCCATAAACCAGGTTTCCCCCCGTCCATGAAAGGAGTTGCGAATCTCTGAAACCAATGAAATAATTTTAAAAATAATTTCGTCGACATGGTTTTGTATTTACTTACAGTCTACATTATGAGCGAGTCTCATAGGCTTATTACCTATTGCGCTACAGCCAATAGGAGCTGAGTATTATTTAGTTTACGTTTTTAGGGAAAAGCTAATGTATTTAATATGTGCCGTTTTGAAAAATATGTGTCTATATATTATACGTTATTATTACTTAACAGAGAAGACATCGGCGATCAGCTGCGTCGTGGCGACATCTACAAAACATTAGTACCTTACGGACATACATATGTAAGTACAAACATTTTTTATTAAATCTGTTTTGTATAAATAAACGCAAAATCTCGATTTATGTCCTTCTTTTATACCGAAATATTAAATGGATTTATATTGAATGAATGTTTAAGAAGAAATAATTGAATGAGAATCTGTCAAGAATCGATAAGATTAATATTACTGGGACAGGTGGGAGGACACTTTAATTTTCTTTTGATGCCATTGAGCTCGGAGTTTCGTTTGGGGTGCCACCGCATAAGAAACTTTGAAGAGGGAAATTATGTTCATTCATATCTACGTTATTGTGAATTGTAAATAATGATTTTATAAGAATAAGTGTGTTCATATTAAAAAAGATCAAAAGATACGAATATAATTTGTTACAGATCCTTCTACTTAAATACAGTGAGAAACATAGAATACATTTAATAGAGCCGTCTAAAATACCCCACTTATTGTGAGCTAAGCCGACCCAATTTACGTTCACTTTACCACTACATACACTCCAACTCAACGTATTTGCACAACTTTTGACGTGACAGGCGGCAGGTGCCACGTTATTGCTTATCTGCCAGCCGACGGGGGTTGAGTTGGGGGCTAGCCCTGTGACATGGCAGAAATCTTCGACAATCCCTCCAATTGTCACAGGTGTTTGTACTATAAAGGACTCCATTGAAATGTTTAGGTATTTGTGAATTAAATATTTGGGATTTTAAAAGGTTGTTTGAGAATTGCAAGAGCTTTTCGTGGTAAACAATGTTTGGACTAAATTGATTTTGTTTGTTTCGGAATGTTTACTGTTTATCAAGAAGACCGATGCAGAGTTTTTGTTTGTAGAACTCAATATTAACGGTACTTATTCCATTAATGAGATTAATTTACTTGACTGAGGTACTTTATTTCATTTTGTCTGAGTTAGCGAACAGACTGATCGTGGCTTATTGATTTATTAATTATAAGTCAATTATAGTTCTAGTTTCGCTCACGTTGTACTTATATCCCAAGTGCCAAAAAGCTTATGGTGCAATATAAAATCAAATCTGCCTCAGAGTCGTAATGGGAGCGACTTCATATTTATGACTTACTAAAGTTCTAAACACAGTTTCTGCTATTATACGCTGAGAAATTTTGTATTGTACTAGCAAAATTTTCGATTTATTCTTATATTTTATAAAAAACTTAGTCACTGAGGCTTTTACGAGACAATGAAACAGCAACGAAAATCCTTTGTTTCAACAAAAAAGCTGGAAAAGAATATACAATATACTTAAACATTTTCCGCTGTTACCTGACAAAAACTCCGCTGTATTAAGCTATCAAGCTGTCAATTTGGCGTCCAGCAACAGTGTTCTTGTGCAACGTTAGAATTATGCAAAGCTGACTGCGATAGCAAAAAGCGCTACCGATATTAGGTACGGGTAAAGCGGATTATAAGTACTATGGTTTATTCTGGCCTAGATTCGGAATACGACCCCAGTTTAACTCGGAAATGGTGGAAAATAAAGTT